CAATAAAGGCAGCTTCTGGATTAATATTCTCAAGTCCAGTAATGATGTCATACAGTTCGTCCATAGCAGTAGCTCTATTTGCGTGTGGTGGAATGTACACAGCTGAGAGGAGAACTGAGTTGAACGCCCTCGGGAGGAAAAAGGCCTGACTTTAATGGACAGCAGCTCGAGGCTCTGAGAGCAGTAAGATTTAATAATACTCACATCTCTAGCCCACAAGGAGTTAATCATAAAGCACACCCCTCCTCCCCTCTTCTTGCCTGAGGCCTTCGTTCGGTCTCCCCGGTAAACAGTGAATCCCTCCGGCGTGATGGCTCAGTCGGGGATGCTGGGTTCCAGCCATGTCTCTATGAAGGCCAGAACGCAACAGTTCCTGATGTCCTGTTGGGGTTTAATCCGAGCGCGCATGTCGTCAAGTTTGTTGTCCAGAGACTGAAGATTCGCGAGCAGGATGCTGGGGAGAGGTGGCTTGCCGTTTCTTCGTCGCGTTCGGCACAAAACTCCGGCGCGTTTTCCCCTCTTTGTTTTCCCTCGACGCCGCACGAGCAAACAAAGGATCCAGGCAGCACAGCATCCACGGAGTCGAAACCTGCTGTAAAGTCCGAGCTGGCTGACGATCGTGGCTCCAGAAGCGCTTGTCTGTCATACCGAGTGTATGATCGCACTGTGCGCACAGTAATAGAAAGCAGAACAAAGTAGATAAAAACATTTTTGCTGAGATGACTGGAAGCTCTCGTCGGTGCAGCCATCTTACGGCGCAAACGGAAGTCATTTATCAGCAACCTTAAATTATTATTGAGAATAGCTGCTATTTTAGCTGGTTCCTTATATAGAGCATTTTTGTCTTTGATCTCCAACTGATTACCCATAGCATCTCGTATGAAGTCAACAAAAGTTAGATTTAGCAACCCTGATTTCCCTAATTACTTTGTTTCTCTAGGACACAAATATGTGCCTATCAGTCAATAGGTTGGTCTTAAGATAGAGTTTTAAGGCATTGTCCCTTTCTTTCATTAATCTCCTTATGTCACTAGAGATCCAGGGAAGTGTACAGTATATCTATTATTCCCTTTAGGATTCCATGGACTGTTCCAAACCCAGGCTCCAGAAGTCTTCCCGAGTTAGGCAGATTTTGTCTTCCTTCACAAGGAGTTCTCCTGGAGGTCGGTTTTGGTCCAAGACATATTCCACCTAAATGAACAGCATTTCATGTGATTTTGCTTCAATACAATATAGAAAATAATAAAGATTAAAAGTGCAACTACAAAATAAGGCTGGCATTGTTTCTCATGCTTCAGCAATTCTAAAACTATCATCGACTTTGACTTATTGAGGTCTAACGTGACTGCATAGAAATGTGCCGTACCAGACTGGACTGAAGAGGGTCCAAGTCTTTCTGCCACTTTGCTCCTGGACTGGCATACTGATGATCAATCTGCCATTCAGGAGTCCCATATAAGTGGTCGAGAAGAAACTTCCCATCAGTTGGTGGATCTGATAATATACAAATATGTGGCATGACATACAAACTTAAATCCATTTTTAACATTAAATCAATATTGAACTGTGACTTCTTATTACTTCTCATACTGTATGCTTACTTTTTGATCTGTGGTAGTTCCTCAGCCTGGACACGTTTACCTTCTGGCAAGTTGCTCCCTTCACAATAGTGGCCACCCCCTTTGGTGTGATGCTGGCCACAGTGTACGGTCCCTGGTGATGGCTGGAGAATGCATCTCCTGTGCGTCTCCTTTTTGGATCTCCAGACAAAAGCACGTCATCGCCTGCTTGAACAACACACTGCCTTACTAGCTTCCTTTTCCATGTTCCAAAGGTCTTCCTCTGGGTGTCCTGTGCCCTCTCAATATTGCGAAGAACCTACAAAAACATTACATGAAAAGCAGAGAGAGAAATATAAATATTTATTATTCACCAGGCCGCCATGGCAATGCTCATTCTGGAAATATAGAAATACAGAAAAGTTAGCTACTAAAGCAGAAAAAATGTTGAATACACAATAAAAAATGAGAACTGTATTAACCACATTTCCCCTTTTTTCCCTCGACAAATCTCCTTTCCCTGTCAGTCAGCCCTCTTCAAATGTACAGACCATTTCATTCAGAACCGTCATCTCCTCAACTCTTGTGTCGATGTCCTCTTCTGGGTCTGCAGCCTCAAAGTCATCGTCCATGGGACAGGTGTTCATCACAGCAGGAAGACGTGGATGTCGGTGGAAGAGCAGGAAATAGGGACTGTGGCGGGTGGAGTGCTGATCACACAAAATCTCTCCATTAATTCATTTTCTCTTGCACTTGTCAATAACTTCTTTTTTTATAAGCTTAAGTTTAAACACATTCTTAAGACGATGCTACACTGTGAAGCAGCATAAAAGTCATACAAAATGTCAAAATAGGAATACCTGCTTTGCAGTGTTGATGCCGTACACCACAGCAGCAAGGTGAACGTCCCAGTCATCGTGGTTCTGGTTCACGTACTTTCTGAGAGCGCCCTTAATGTTCTGGTTGGTCCTCTCATCCTTTGAGTTGTATTGCAGAATAGATAAAGAAGCACGACTGATTTCACATGAGTTACTCAAGGTTAGATATCCAAATGCTAACCTGCCCGTTGGTCTGGGGGTGGTACGCACTGGAGACAGCATGTTTAATATTCAGCAAGCTGAAAATGCTGTCGTTGAGCTGCAGTGGCATGAGCAGACTTGGTCTAAATACATCATCTCATATGTCAAGGTACGACTAACACTTTCACAAATTTTACCTGGTTCACAAACTCCTTTCCTTGGTCAGTGATGATCTTCCTCACCATGCCAAACATGTATAACTTAGACGTCATGACTGCAGAGACCTCAGCAGCAGTCTTAGACTTAAGAGGTTCTGCAATCACCCACTTGGTATACAGATCGGTCATGGTCAGGACATATCGGTTCCCTAGACGTGTTTCTGGGAGTGGTCCAATTAAATCCATGCCCAGCACCTCCCAAGGTTCTCTTACCTGCAGGTCACAGAACTTATCAAGTGAAAATTTAAAGCTAACCTTCAGCAGACAAGCTTATTAACTTGAAAATTAAATGTAAATAGCTTTAAGATGTACCTTGATGGGATGTAATGTTGGTGCCACGGTCTTGATTGGGTCATTCATCTGGCAGCGATGACAACATCTGACCTGAAAGGCGTATTCCAAACAATATGTCTAGGAAACCCTAAACCAGCTGATGTAATTTGATAATAAAATAAAAAGACAGAAACTAATGTTGAAATGTAAGTGATTATATAGCCTACAGATGTTTTAGAAAAAATTATGACGACCTGATTTAGCTTCTTCACTCAAATAAGGACATTACCCATTCAGCAATGTCCTGGTTCAATGTTGGCCAGTAAAAGACAGCAACAACCATGTTTCGGGTACCTCTGACACCATTGTGGTTCCCGGTACCAGGGTTATTGTGGCATTCCATCAAAACAGACTTCTTCTCCTCCTCTGACATGACTACCAGGCGCATGCTCTGCATACTGGGGCCAGTGTAGAAGAGTCTGTTGTCTGGAACAAGATAAAAATGAAAAAAAAAAGATGGGAGTTGCTGACTAAAGTAAATTGAAATGTCTGACAGATATTAAAGTTTGAGATCTGCACCAATATGGTACATTTACCTCCAATTGCAATTATCTTTAATATATATATATATATATGATATTGTATTTACGATTTTTTTTATCTAAAATAAGACCACACACCAAGATGTAGACCTATATATAGAGTTTCGATATTACAGACGATGCTACACTGTACACTGATATTACTCGTTACACCATCCTGAGTCAACGCAGGCATCATGCAACTTTAGAACAATAACGGAGTCTGTACCCTCAAGCAGCAAGGGCAGCTGTAGACCGTGATAAAAGATCATCTTTAATTTTCGTACTTACCTTTAAGTCTGTAATTAGGCGCCATTCTTCTTATTTTACGGCGCTTTTGTTCAATCGCCGGAAGCTCTCCGTTGAGGAGAAAATCATGAATTTCGTTGTAAATGGAGGTATCCATTGTTTAAACTTCCCGCAGTCGGTAACTGTCGCAAAGTTGGCAAAGAGAGGAAGTGACGTAAAATTCGCGCATGCGTGGTACCGATCGGGTTTCCGGTACGGATCGGGTAGCGACAGCCGTAAATCTAAAGTAAAAGTTTGTCGACATTTTAGAGTGATATGAAGCTTACTGCTCTGCTGCTGTGTCCCGTCGCTGCCACATTCAGATGGAAATGACTCCTTCTAGATAGATGAAGCCCTCAGTACTTACTAGCCTGGGAGACACGAACGAACGAACGTGCGCGCGCACACACACACACACACACACACACACACACACACAGAAACACACTACTTTTTTCTTGTTTTTTTTTTTCTTTTAGCAGTAGTGTCATCAGCTCCTGGGTTTAAATACTGCCACACCACCCTTCCTTAAAACGAGGAAGTTTTGAGCTGTGTGTGGCTAAAATAACCAGACATTCTGCATTTTTCCAATAGGACTACAAAAAATCTTAGCGAGAAGAAAAAATGGCGGATTGGCTCTGTGTTTAGCCGAAGGCCATTACCATATTTGGTAGTTATCCTGACGAAATAAATTACTGATGTAATAGATAATTTGAAAAACTGAACGGGTGGACAAATATGCCCAAACTTAATTATTAAATATCTAAATAGCAACTCCAGTGAATAATAGCCTTTTTAATAAGCCTTTTTGCTCACTTAAGACACTTAAAATGTGAAACACACCGTGTTAATGGATAAAAAAGTAGGTTTTTCATGTTATGTCTCCTTTAAATGTCACTCACTGTTTTAAACAATTTTGTTGATGTTACAATTTTATCAATAAAGATGAGTGAAAAAAATCTACATACGGCATAAATGCGTCCCTCCTAAAAACCAAACAAATCACCAGCACCCACTGGTTAATGCTGAATGGTGCTGAACGCTTGTAACATGCTTTCTCACCTTCAAAATGGAGATTTTCGACATTTCCCAGCTTGGTTGATCCACACCACAGTTCAACAGCCACGAAGCACTGGAAAAACACCAAACCAGTTAACATTATGTCACTTAGTTAGGATTGTCTAAATATCATGTAGTAAATAAAAAATTCAGTAAGCCTGGTTTGGTTCAGGCTAGTCGGTTAATTGGACAACAGTGGCGGTAGCTAGTTGAAGCTAAAGCTAGCGTGAGTCACGTTCTCTACCACTTCTCTTCAAATGGGATTTCTCTGTCTTAAATAGATGTACTTATACTTACTTTTTACCTTTTATCTCAAAGTCCAGTCTGTCAGAGCCCGTCGCTCTGAGAAGCACTTGCTTCTAGTTATGACCGAAGAGAGTCCAGTTTCAGTTGGGAAACCGCTGAATCACACTTCTAGTTCGCACCTGCAGTTTCAGACCGCTTCTGCTGAGACAGCGCCCCCTGCTGTTATACAGCTGGAAGAAAGGCATTGAACGTGAAGCACATATGGCGCCAAAAATAAACACGTCGAGTTCATTTTGACCTACAAATGAACGTGTTCTTGTGATAAGTTTAATCTGTTTATCACCACATGCAGGCTAAGCTAAGAGCTAATATATCTCTGGAAATGAATGTTCTCAACTGCACATTTAGTTACATTATTGCATTCTAACTTTGACTAATTAAACATATATGAAGTATTACATTAATGACAGAAAAATTATTAAAAATGCAACGTTTCTGTAAAAGTTTGAATTTTTCTGAAAGAAATAAAGAAGTTGGTTCATGCTAAAGCAGTAGTTTGCTATCCTGGTCCTGGAGGGCCAGTTACCCAGCACAGTTTAGTTGTTCCTCTGCTCCAACACACTTGATTCAGTGGTTGAATCACCGCAGCTCATCAAGCTCTGCGCAAGCCTGCAAATCGGGTGTGTTGAAACAGGATTCAAAGTAAAACACCTTGAATGCAGGCCTTCCATGGACGAGGATTGAGAACCACTGCGCTAAAGGTAAATTTGGTTTTACATCAAGTAATATTTCATACAAGCAAGCCTTTTTCACACAAAAAATATATGTAACTATTTATATTACTCTAGTCTTTATTAATGGTTTATTTTGTATAAATATGACTGTGAAATTTTTTCCATTATATTTCATATTACAGTTGAGCAAGATCAAATCTAGCTGAATTTAGAGAGGTGCAGGACCTGCTGCATAAACGTCCACTATCCTTTTAGCTGTTCATCTTTATTTCACCCATCAAAACTCAGTAAATGTTGAAATATTTATCATCTAGTTTGAACAGGTTTGTCATGATAGAAGGAGAAGAAACAGTATTTTATATGGCACCTCTCAACATAAAAACCACAAGGACAAGAACAAAATTAATAAAGATTGAAAAAAATATTTAAAATATAATAAAAAGGGGAAAAGAAAATGAATAAAAAAGAGTGATCAGTGGCAGAAATGGTAAAAAGAGCTGAACAAGGACAAGGTAGTGATGATGAATAGTAACATAATCCTGTTTTTGTTTGTTGCCTTAACTTCATACTTGACTTTGATTGTATTCATAAGTAACCATATATGTAAAGTAACACTTATTATGTAGCCTACTAAAACCTAAAAACTGTCAAATGCAATTCCTGGTTGGTTTACCTGTGCGTCTCTGAGTTGCACTGCGATGAACTGGATGGATGGTGCACCCCTGGAGATAGGCACCAGGGCCTCTGCCACCCTGCAAGGAAAAGCAGGTAGATGTTGGATGGAAAGTGTCTGGCAGGTCCTCCAACACTTGCAGAAGATTTAAAATCCTGATGGCTGCAGACATAAAGGGTTTGCTGAGCTCTCTGTCTTGCATGGATTGGAGGAACCTTGTAACACCACCGTTTTTGGACCATCAAGCTGTTATGAGGTGGCTGATCTGATGATCGTCATAACCACCGTCTTTGTACATCTCAACCTATCCCCCAGCGGATATGCACTTAATGAAGTTTCTGTACTTTATGTAAAATGTTAATACTCCCTACACCAAACATTTCCCACAGAGGAACAATAAATTCATTTGTTTAATCTATTTGATTCTATGATACAGATTTCAGATGATGCTGAAATTAAAGCTCAGTTTTTAACCGCAATTTTCAATTATAGATTTAAAATGAAAAAGAAAGCTCAGTATTGACAAAACTTTCATTTATATCATGAATAAATATGGCTCACCTTATAAACATTTTTAAAAGACTTTATTGTGGTTTTCAAGCTGTCAGACAATCCGCCCTTCATATCCTTCCAGCCCCAACTAGGAGCTTGTGGCAGGATTTTTTTCTGACAAAACCAGACAGCATCCTGACCACATTCACATTCTGACACACTGCAAAACAAATAAATGCAAATGAAACCCAGTCAGGGTGAACTATAACCATAGTGAAACAACTTCAGTTTTGTGTAGCAAAATAGTTTTTAGCTCAGTTTGGGAGAAGTGTGATTTTTATTCTTTCCATTCTCGTGTTCGTCCATGTGATCACGCCCACCAGACAAAAAGAGAAATTTGGACCAATCCCTGCAGAGCATCAGACTTTAACAGCCAATCACAATCAGCATTGATGTTGTGGGTGTTTCTCAGAAATTGAGTTCAGTAGTGTGGCGCATCCTGTCGCCGGGCCGGGCGGGCAGAGTTCGGTTGGTTGGTGAGTGAGTACCACTGATGAGAGAAAGGGCCGAGGAAGTTGCTCGCATCGAAAGACCTTTTTTTCTTGTGGAATAAGATAAATATCGGAGCAGGTTTTCAGTTTTTATCTCGTGCGGTAAGTCTAAGAAGAATGGCCCGAGCTAGGTGTTTTTTTCTGCGGTAAAGCGGTTAGCGGTAGTATCCATTACCATTAGCTAGCGGATTATTGTGCATGACTTTTTAATGATGGAGGACCTTCAGCTCTGCTAGTGTTAGCCAGTCGGCGTTGCAGTACCCGTGCTATTTACTGATTTGGTAGGCTCTTAACTAAATTCGTGTGCTTCAAGTACGGACTCAGTCTTTGAGTTGGTGTGAAGCGACGATGTTATTGTCCACCTGCTTTTATCCTTGGGCAGCCATTGGAGCCTCCCACACCCATGAAGATGGGATTTACCGGAGGAGGCTAAATATTCTTCCATGTACCACCTGTTTTCTTGGAAATTTTGATACTTTAAAAACTTATTTGACCATACACTGCTTCCAATTAATAAAAGCTTAAGCGGAGTCCCGCAGTGGTGCCCATCAGTGCAGTATGGTTGTGGCAGGCATCTTTTGGAGCGGGGAGGGGGAGATCTGAGGCTCAGCACGCCAACTTTAAGCTAATGGTAGCAAGCTAAGTTAGCCAGTGCAGCTGGCCTGTCCGGGCAACAATCGTCCGTGACGTTTCTGCTAAAGACCACAGCATCAGATGATAGATACCTCACTGCCGCTGACACATCTTACTGGGCCTTGATCAGAGTAAAACTATTATGATTATTTCAGGTGCAAATCACGACAACAGTCGTCTCAAGGCACTTCACATAATAAACATTCCAATTCAGGTCAGTTCATTAAGCCAATCAGAATTAATGTTTCCTATATAAGGAACCCAGCACATTGCATCAGGTCACTGACTAGTGTCAGAGTCTATACAGCAATCCTCATACTAAGCAAGCATAAAGCGACAGTGGAGAGGAAAACTCCCTTTTAACAGGAAGAAAACTCCAGAGAATCCTGGCTCAGTATAAAGGTTGGTTTTTGCTTGACATGTCCGCGAGAACCGCACGGCTCCGCACGGAAAAGTTGCATCATTTTGCGTCATTTTAACAACCACGCCCCTCCGCCGCGCCTCCGCACGGCCCAGAACTTCCGCAACGCGCACCTCGGAAAATTTCTAACCACGCGGACGGTCGGACGCGGAAAAACATGGCGGACCGGCAAGAACTAGTATGGCAGAGGTTCGTAAATACAGACATTTGTATGATTCAGCTCTCAAAGATCACCGTGATAAACATGTTGTTAATAATTCTTGGAGAGAAATAGCTCGCACTGTCGGAAAAGACGAGGACGCTGTTAAAAATGCTGGAATACCATGTTGTAAACAGTAATTTCTACTTCTACTATGGTGTAGTGTTGGATGCATGCCGTAGAGCTCCATGCTGCCCCCTACAGTTTGGGAGAATAATGGCTCACCGCAGAGACGAGCCGCACGAACCATAAACGCTGCGAGTTGTGAAGCGCGTTCCAGCCGCGAGCCGCATCACCACGCGGAAAGTAAATGCGTCAAGCAGAAACCAAGCTTAAGCAGCCATCCTCCATGACTCACTGGGGATGGAGAAGACAGAGCACACACGCACACACACACACATGCACACACACACACACACACACACACGTGCACACACACACGCACACACACACACACGTGCACACACACACACACGTGCACACACACACACACACACACACGCACACACACACACAATAATGTGTCTATAGTTCTATTGTGATGTCTTAGTAAATATTCTGTTTGGTGAGATAAACTTTATTGTATTTATCCTAGTGGATCTATAATTAAACGGGTAAACTAGTAGTAGCACATCCAACGTCAAGGAAACCAAAAAGTTATTATCAGGAGAGGGAGAATGTTTAAGTGGTTAGCAGCAGTGTGCTAGCCGATGGCCCCCTCCATGAGGCCACCACAGCTCAGCAGAACATCGTTGTAGCTTCTTCTGGGGAGAAAAACACTTAGAGAGAAAATAAAGTTAACAGCTGAAATAGCAGGAAATAATACAGTTAAAGAGCAGATTGTAGAAGAAAGTAGTAGAGTGTGGAAAGTGGTCAGTGTGTCCTCCAGCAGCCTAAGCCTATAGCAGCATAACTACAGAGATAACTCTGGATAATCTATCCTATTTAGATGGAGGCATGTTGGAGGCAGGGCAAGGGAGAGCCGTCTTTACCGACTGTACACTCCACCTCCCTCTACTCCCCCACTTGTCCAGATCTAGGCTAACATCAGATTTTAACCATAGACCCTATCAAATAAAAATGTTTTAAGCCTATTCTTAAAAGTAGACAAAGTGTCTGCCTCACGGACTAAGGCTGGGAGCTGGTTCCACAGGAGAGGAGCCTGATAACTAAAAGATCTGCCTCCCATCCTAATTTTAGATATTCTGGGAACCACCAGTAGACCTGCAGTCTGAGAGCGAAGTGCTCGGTTAGGAACGTATGGAACAATCAGATCACTGATGTATGATGGAGCTTGATTATTAAGAGCTTTATATGTGAGGGATCTTAAAATCTATTCTGAATTTTTTATTATTTTTTTAACTGTGTCCTGTCTGGCTGTGAAGCAAACAGAATTGATGTCTGAATGTTGGTAACAAGCCTTACACATTTACTCTCAGGTGGAGCATCAAAGCGTCTGCTTTTAATGTCACGC